AGTCCTTGTTCCAGGTGATTGCTGAGGCCTCCTGTCTTTCACCTGAGTCTCTCCAGAAGCTTCATGATGAGAGATGTCAGGGCAACAGGTCCATAGTCAATGACCAATAGGGGAGCTTTCTTTGGTATTGGAACAATACAGGATATCTCCCACATCAGTGAAACTTGGCGGATATCTGGCATATCGACAAATTTGTGGTGGATTGTGCCGACTAGCAAACACTCAGACTGACATGCTATGGAACAGAGGCACAAGTTGGAAGGGATTCTTTCGCAGGCAAACTTTGGATGTTAAAACTCACTAATGAAATGAAATCGATCTTGGAGAAGTTGCTAGTTCCGGCCCGGTGGAAACAACCACACTAATTTGGAGGTTTGGAATTAACAGAGTTGTACTGGTTGAGATTCTAAATTTTAAGTCTGCCTGATCTAAAGAAAATGTGTTTATTCTGAATCTGGCTCCTTGTGTCGGCATTGGCTGGCTATCACAAATCTACTGGGGTTCATGCAAACAAGCTGTTCTTTCCCACCCTCTCAACTCTCCTTAAATCACCAGTGGAATCTTATCGTCAAACTCGTCAAGGACTTGCTCTTAGATAATACCACCTTTATCAGAGACTATTTTGGGAGAATAGACTGTATGTAACAAGACACAGACTAATCTGCAAACATGTCATAGCTACAGACAAATAATCCCTCATCTCACTATCTTTGCTGGCTCATATCTTTGTATTATTTGAATGTTGCTATTTGTGCTTGTTTCTCCTGATGTGTCATTTCTTGCCCTGACTTTCCGTCTAGTTTAGGAGTGGGCAACTCCAGGCTTCGAGGGCCGGTCTCCTGCAACTTTTAGATGCATCTCCTCTTCAACACACCTGAGTCAAATAATGAGGTCATTAGCAGGACTCTGGAGAACCCGACTGCACTTAGGAGGTGATTCAGCTGTTAGATTCAAGTGTGTTGGACCAGGGAGACATCTAAGAGTTGTAGGACACTGACCCTCGAGGACCAGGATTGCCCACCCCTTATTATTACTTTTAGAAATTGTGAAGTACTCAATACTTTAGACCAATGTTTAGCTTTATACTTTTTTGGTTATTATCCAAGGAAACTCCTATTAGTCTATCCATAGAAATTCCTTCTAGCTTATAAATTACGGAGTACTTATAACAGGAGCATCTAGTTTATATATTCACTCAACCCAGAACAGGAATAAAAAGTTCAAAGCTTATTAGTTTACATACTTCAATCAACCTAGAACAGGAATCAAACCTTAACAGGTTTGATTCAACCAAACCAAGTTAGAACAGTATGCTTCAGAGGAACTCCTATTAGATTATACAGAGAAACTCCTGGTGTACCCATTAGCCTGCCTCACAACCCAGAACAGGAAAATTTAGTTTATATACTTCACTCAACCCAGAACAGGAAGTAGAACTAACATAGAATCCAGAGAAACTCCTATTAGCTTATCTAGAGAAACTACTCAACATTTAGCACCATGTACTGTTTAGAATCAAAAATGGAGAACCAACATACTTTTTTTGTTTGATTTTTCTTTTTGCTCTTTCCTTTGGTTTATTGTTTTGTTTGTATTCCCTTCTAATTTATGTAAAGAACTTTGAATTGCTCTGTTGCTGAAAATGTCCTATAAAAATAAAATTATCTTACCTTACCTTTGATATGTAAAATATGTATTCTTGGTGGAAATAAATCTACAGTTTCGTTTCTGTCAATTCTGTCAAGATGAAAAAGAGGGCTAAGAAATTTTTTGTTTTATGTTGGTTAGTAAATTAATTTTACATAATTGTATTGCTGTTGATATTAGTTTGCTCAAATTTAAATCATGGCTCCTATGACAAGTTCTGCAAACAAATGAGCAGATTAGCCCAGTTTTTGTCGTTTAATGAAAGCTTAAAAATTGCAGCGGCAGCAGTGCATCCCAACAAAGTAAATTAACACTGGTGTAAAACAACTTTAAACCTCTTGTATTCTGGGGTGTGGTGTGGTGGCGCAGGGGTTAAGCACAACCCACAAATGGAGGCCTTAGTCCTCGACGCAGCTGTCGCAGGTTCAATTCCCAACATTTGCTGCATGTCTCATTACCCACTTTCCTGTCAATTAACTATCAAATAAAGGCTACTTGAGCCAAAAATATCTTTAAAAACAAAAAACAAACCTCTTATATTCTGCTTTTCCTCACTCTGTGTCGCCTTTACTCTACATGCAAACTCGTTGCATGTAGAAATCAACACAAGGCCTCCCCTATCCCACAGAGTAATATGACCAGAATGCCTTGCGCAATAGTCCGCTTCCTACTTTTGGAGCGGTCTCCGGTCCACTTGGTTTTCACATGCATTCAAACATTGTCAGAGTTCACTTCAACCAAACCAAGAGAGAGGTTTTTAGATGGACCAGAGTTCATTTTTTTGGTCCGCATTAGAGTTTGCATTCACACCTCCCCAAACGAACAGGAGCTTTTAAACAAATTACAGTTGGAAATGAGTAGTGTAAAGCAACAAGAAAGTTGGACTAAGACACCGCTTGTCAACCACATGTTATAATCTGGCTCTTACCTTTAGTGAGAAGAGGCAGTGCAAGCAGAGAGCAATCATCACTGCAGCCAGCAGTATGGTGGCCAAGTTGCGCACATCACCCAGAGATTCTACAAGGGGAATGCTGCCCACTTGCCAGTCATAGCACAGCACAACGGGAGCAAGCAGCAGCCAGGCATTAAAGGACAGCAGGTATGAGTAGGTAAGGAACCTGCCGGAAGAGGGCATAACGTGAACTATTTGGTGGAGAGAACACACAGCTATGAGACAAATTAGATGTTTAAGAAGAAATGGAAAAAAGTTTATTGCCCAACAACTGAACAATTCAAATCAATTAGTATATGAATTGGAGTTTTCATTTAATTGAATCTACCATCTACTCACATAAACTAATTTGAAGTAGAATCAAAATTCCTTTTATTGTCATTGTGCAAGAAAAAAAAGCACAACTTTGAAAGTGACTCTAAAGGCAAGTCAAATAAATAAATAAAATAAGTATATTTCAATAAAAATAAAACATATAGCAGAAACACACAAACAACTGGGATGTTAAGAAAAAACAAATAAAGATAATTTTTAGATGGATTTGCTGTTTTCAGGGTAACGACAGCTCTTGGGTAGAAACTGTTTTTAATCCGTTTGTCCTTGACCTTATTGCCCCGAAACGCCTCCCTGAGGGCAGGAGTTTGAAAAGGTGGTGGCTAGAGTGTGAGGGGTCCTTGATGATGCTGTGGGCTCTCTGGAGGCAGCAGGTCCTGTACATCTCCTCCAGAGATGAAAGAGGGCAGCCAATCAGTCTCTGGGTGTTGTGGCTTCTTTAACACTTCTTTTATTTTATTATATTATATTATATATAATATAATATAATATAATATAATATAATATAATATAATAAATATATATATATATATATATATATATATATATTATATTATATTATATTATTATTATATTATATTTTATTATATTATATTATATTATATTTTATTATATTATTTTTGGCTTCTTCTTTTATTTGTTGTTAAGTATAAGTCACATGATAAGTGACTTATACTTAACATGATAATTTACATAATCATGTAAATTATGCTAAGCATAATTTACATGATTATTATGAATTGAATTGAACATGATTGTATATAATTACAAAGGTGAAGTGAAATATATTTAAGTGCGAGACATGATTTATTTGAATATAGGAAGTCTTTTATTTTGAAGAATGCTTAACAGGATCTGGTTCTGTTTTTGTCACTGTCTTGCTTTGTTGATTTTTAGTTGCTGGATTACGAACAGCTGTTGCCATTATCAGCTGTTGTTTTTCTCCTCAATAAAACTGAACAGAAATGTTCAGCAAGACATACGAGCCTCCATCTTGTTTGAAGAAGCTTTCACTCCGTAACACTGGGTGGTGTTTATGACCCTCTGGAGCTGCTTCCTCTCTTCTGCAGTGCAGCTGGAGAACCATGGTGAGATGCCGTGACTCAACACCAACTACATAGAGCAATAGAAGGCCACCAAGAGCTCAGTTCTCAGGTGGTTCTTCCTCACAATCCTCATGTTGTAGGTCCTCAGGGACCTGAAATTTGACACCATCTCCACCCTCTCCCAATTTATAATGATGGGCTGAATGTCTGGTTTACACCTCCTAAAGTTGACGATCAGTTCCTTCAACTTTTGACCAATGCAATTTACGTGGGCTACCACTTTGTGGCTGAGTTGCTGTCATTCCCAGACACTTCCATCTTCTTATAATACAGCTGACAGTTGACTGTGGAATCTTTAGGAGTGAGGAAATTTCACGACTGGATTTGTTGCACAGGTAGCATCCTGTCACAGATCCATGCTGAAATTCACTGAGCTCCTGAGAGCAACCCATTCTTTCAGAAATGTTTGTAAAAACAGTGTGCAGGCAGACGTGCTGAGGGGCGGGGGGTAAAGAGGGTAGAGGGACCAGTTGCTCTGTCTGTTTTAGTTAAAGAGCCATGTTTTTTAAGGGGTAATGCATTTTATAAAACCAAGTGAATTAAAAAGAAAAAGTCACCCTTCCATCTTTTCTCATTGATCTGAATGCATTTTATTATAGTTTGTGAGAGTGTGGTACCTGGTAAGCAGATGAGGTGAAAAGGAGGCAGGGTTGTCCTGTTCTGAAAAAAGAGGCATGGATCCTCCCATGAGCCACAGCCGAATTGACATTATCATCACCACCTGAAGGACAAAACAATCTCAAGGTCTGGCAGATTACATACAGTATAGCGATGTGCATTAAAAAAAAAACTAAGAGCAATAGTTAAATGAGATAGAACAGGCCAATATGATTGTTTGAAAAAAAATAGACATTTTTCAAACATGTCTTTTTTTGCAGCAGCAGTTATAATTTTGATAAACAGATAGTGGCACACTGCAATATTTAAACAGCTTGATCAGACCTTCCCAAAGATCGGCTGAGCAAAAACTCAAAAGTTCTTTCTTCTCCTGATCAGTGAAAACACTATGTGTATTCTAGAAACATTCTGAGCCATAGATTCCTTACACAGAATGAAATGCCAAGTCTATTTCATTTAATTTTCAGGATTACGGGTTAGAGATCATAAAAAAACTATGATTTATTTTCTCAGGACGTAATATTGCTTTAAAATAATGAAAAAAGGATATCTTAACCCAGAAACCTTCAGACTTCTGAAAAGTATGTGCACTAGCGTTCTCCTTTTTGGCAGCCTTCTGTGCTTTAGACGACAATTTGAATCCACCTGGTCAGCTTGAATGGAAAGAATGGGATGGATAATTATATCCGTCCCATTATATTTTTCAGGCTTCTCTTACAGGGTGAGCATAGCCTGAACAGTTTGAGGGTTGAAGACCTTAAAAAAGTAAGAGTAAGGCTGAAGCATGCTCACCAAGCGTCTATTCCATTAAAGTGAAAGTCATGATGCTATGGTCCGCAATGTGGTTGACCTGGGTTCAATGCTTGGGAGCACTGGTTGAGTGGAATGAGGGTTTGTTTTTTTCTCAAGTCCTTCTTAAATAAATAGATTAGATAGATTTGATTTATTGTACGAAATTAATAGTACAGCTGTTCTTAAGGCAAACAGATAAGACCGATGTTGGAACTGGCATTGGGATTGGGGTTGAATGCATAGTTCCTGCAATTGTATGAGCTCCACTACATGCCATTTTCATTCATATTATTCTGTATTTGGAAATTAATTCTCTGAACAGTTCTGTTTATTTTTCATACTTAACTGATTTAAAATAAAAATTATATGTGTAAAGCAATTGAATAAGCTAAACCAAGTAGATGATTAGTATTTGTCTTTTTGTGAAGAATATGCCAGATTAAATTATTATTATTATTATTACTATTATTATTATTATTATTATTATTTCATAATTTGGAGTTTGATGCCCTCCTAATATTGATGTGATATTTGACATATGAAAGCTCTAAGTGAAATAGACCATGTCATCTGAGGAATAGGATTGCCAAATGACTTTTGGTAACAGGAAAGGTTTTCAAAATTAGGTTAGTGTTCACATTTGCTGTCCAAGTACAAAGAGATTTTGAAAATTAAGTCTTTGCAACCCAGAATCCTCCAGTAGTCACATGACTGCTTAGGGATATTTGCAGTAAAGGGTGCATCATACTGGGTCTTCCAGTTAAAAGGACATTGTTACTTTCCACATTCGTCATTTGCTTACTCAGGAAAAGGGATTGCTGGAAAGTCAGACTCCCTCCTCTAGCTCTCTTAGAAAAGTAACGTTTTACTAGCTGATATTAGATGATACATACTGCAATCTGATTGTAACTATATAATTATGCCATTAGAGTTGTTGCAAGTGTATCTTTAGCACCACCTAAAAGTGATTTTGTAAATAATCAAACAGTGGCATCACAGGATGTAGGAAGTTTATGGATGTATACATGTTGCTTGATGATTGACAGTAATCCACAAGCATCTGCCTCCATCCTTCATCTTTTCTGACATTATGTGTAACGTCATTTATTCTTTACTTATTTCTGTTGGGAACTGGGGTTTTGGTTTCTTTGTGGAATTTTTCTGGTTGCCTGCTGCTTCCCCCTTCATCCACTATATGGTGACTAGAGGCTGCACACCTTCGAGGGCATGCCCGCTGACTCTGTCGGTGCACCTGTGATTCATCATTCAATCATCCCGGAGTATATGAAAAGCAGGCTACTAATCGCCTGAGTGTTTGCCAGTAATGGTACTCTGCGCCCCTCCGAGCTCGTTCTCTGCGTTATCTCTGAAATTACTTCTAGTAATGTATCCTTGTCGCCTCTATCTCAGGTGTTTCCTTGTGACACCTTGGAAATTCCCCTGTGAAGCCCGAGACCCGGCTGTCTAGATTTCTCCCCTTGTGACGCCGTGGATTGTTACCCATTGGTTACCTGAGTACCTTCTTCCCCCCTGCAGAGCTTCAATAAACCTTTCCTGGATTCTCAGCTGGCAGTCGGTTCGCTCTTCTTTCCCTCCGCACCTGAACTTACCTGTCCGCCCTCCACCTTAGCCTCCACATCACCTACAAAGAACTAATTCCGTCAAGACCTCACACTGAAACCTGTGAAAATAGTCTAATTCTTCCTGAAGTTCCATTTTCCGACAACCTCAAACTCACCATCTCTTCCTCACTGCTCTTCAGCATACAGACGACCCCGGTTGCCAACCCCAAGGACAAGAATCACACAATTTCTCTTTTTATCATTGTTAAAATAAACTTTATTATCTGATCATCTGTTCTCCTGGTGGTGTTCTGTATGTGGGTAAAGAAACTGGAACCCAACATGACAATTTCCAGTTCTTTGCAACTTGAGAGAACTTTATTCTCTAACTTTCACAGATTGTTGAAGCGACATGTTTAGAGTGCAGTCATGGTTTTTCTTGCATCTAAAGTAATGTAGTTTTACAGTGTAACCACTGTCGAGACAGTATAGATGGAAGATTACAATTGTACATGTTGTAATTGTATTGTTTGTTATACTTCATTTCAGTTTCACACTTTCTATATCTTAAACCTCTGGACAAAGAGTCTGAATGGAATAAAGAGTAAAATAATTGTGATGGAATGAATTTAATTGATTTGAACTGAAGTCAGATAATACCTGGATATTAACTGGATCTGTATGTGTTATGATCTGTATTTTCTGTGTAGTTATTTTTGAGGTTTTTCTGTGTTTTAGTCC